ACTGGGAGGAATGTGTCGTTTTTTTTTTTTCCTTTGTTACACAAAGCCTTAATGCATAGAATGTAGAATAATACGTGAAATCTCGAATTTTCTTTATATACACATGTTTCTATTGACACAATCTGATTTTAAACTCATCGTACAGTCATTTTTCTGCCGGACATGATTTCTTTCAGCTTGTCTTTCAAGTGAACGCCATGTATTAATTACCGCCATTTTATTCCAATTAGCTTGTTCTGAATGTTCTTTAATTCGGCCGAAGTAAATGATAAGCGGAGAATAAAACTGTGACGAAATGATAAAATGACGAAAAATTATTCTGCTAGTATTAATATAAAAAAGCAAAATTTATATATATATATATGAACTTGAAATATGTCAAATCTGCTACCATTTTGAAAACACGATTTTAATTTTGCTGAAAATGTTCATCAATTTCCTTTTCATATGCTGGTGTATGTGTATAAATTTTGCAAATAATTTATTGAGCTTTGAGTTACTTCAAAAGAAAAATGTTATTCATTAACTTTATTTCCTTCAAAGAAAAGTAGAAGTAAAATAAGTATTCGTTCTGTTCCAATTTAGGAAAAACTAAATTTACTAAACATAACATTTTTAATGAACACTGTGGCAGTTAACTATGTCTAAATACCTGGTGAATGCTGATACAACGTTGTGAACTAAACTCATATGACGTCATATGAGTTTGCATGTGATAAATGCAATCATGTGTTTCCAGCCAATCAGTTCTATCTTCTCACTGATGCCACCTTTTGATTCTTACAGAAAGTATCTTTCGAAAAGTAAATACAAGTTAATAATAATATAACACATAGGTAAACAAAATGCACTTCTTTTAAAAGTAGACATATAGTATAAGAATTTTTTTTTATTTAAAAAAACATTTTTGAAGAATCTTAACAATTATATATAAGCATATTTTATCTTACAATCAAATTTGGAACTTTTTCTGGATTTTATTGGTTTCAAGAAGATTTAGAAGTGTAACGTCAGCTTTGAATTCATTGGTTAAACACATGATAACATTTATAATTTGACCGTCATGAATTTAGTCTAGTGCTTAGCCTCACGACATAGCTTTTACTTATCGCGTGTTTGTTTATATATAAAAAACTTAATGCAAGGCTTAACCACAATATCAGCGTTCACAAAACATATTTACACATAGTTAACTATTGCAGTGATCATTCAAAAAAATCCAATAATGTTAACTTTCAGAAAAATAAAGTATACAGTCTATAAAATAATTTATTGTTAAATTTAGAAATGTTCTACACATGACTTTGGACTTATAGAAAACTTACCACGTACTATTTTTAACTTTTTTGATCACAATCCTTTCTTTTTATAACTTCAGTCGAAATATTTCCATTTTAATATTACTAGATCAAGATTACCTTATGTTTGCTTTTGTACTCTTCCATTCTACCACTCGTTCATTTATAATAAATTCGAATATTTATAGAAAGCGGATAAAGAGATTTTTTTTACATCTAATGCGATTGTTTTAGTGTTTTTGAAGGAGAAAAAAGATTGTGCAGTTCGCTCTCTCACGCTTATAAAAGAAAGCCCCGCTCTTTCCAACCTTCATCCAATTACAGAGCGCTGCGCAATTTATTGAATAAAATAAAGTTTTCAATACATCCTGGCTATTTGTAATCAAATTTAATGATTATTTGCGTAAAGAAAGAAAAATGTAAGTGTACATAATCTTTTATGAACACTTACATTTCGCGCTGGAAAACAGAAGAAATAATATCGTTGTTTTGCTACGATGATTACCTTGAATATTTGTGACCGTAGAAATGTTCATTTTTGAATGCGTCATTTTGTTTTAATTAAGTAAATAATAAGTTACTGTAATTTAATCTTCTTCTGAGATCTCATCAAATATATACTCATTTCTGTTGGGGTATATTATAAAATTAAATTAATTATTCCTTTAGAAATTCACTCAGTGGCGTACACGGACTTCTCTTATGGAGCGCTTAAAATACTATAAAAATTAAAAATTTATTGGTCTCTGGGGTAGTTTAAACCCCTCCTTCCCTCGAGTACGCCACTGATTTCACTTCAAAACGAGACCTGAAGTATAGAACAATATATTGCAATGAATCTCAGTGGCGTACAAGAGGGGTCAAACTCTCTCCACAGACCAACAAATTTTTATATTTTATCATAGAGAATACCCCTCGGTGCTTCCGTCTACATGATTTTCAGAATATACCCCCCCATAAGAAGGTCTGTGTACGATGTTGATGTACCTAAACTCATCATCTTACGACTTTTTTAAAAAAGGTTAAGCGATTCACTTGCCATTTTAGCACTGGCGTAGCTAGTCCTGAGTGGGCCCTGTATCAAAATTTCTTGGAAACCCCTTTTTTTGAGGAAGTGGGCTTAACAAGTTACGCCTCTTTTGTTTTCATATGTTAGGGCACCTGTAGCTCGGGGTCCCGTATCATTGATACGGCGGTAGTTACGCCCCTGCATTTTAGGACGAATAAAAATTATAATTGAAAAATTATCTCGCAATATATATATATTATCTACACTTTAATTTTATCTTGACTGAGCTTTAAAAGAAGAAGAATCTCAAAATGCATTTCTTAAATCCTGCTTTAGAAGCCTTAGATCTATAATTCAATGCCACCCTCCTCTAATATTAAGCCCCAGGACTTAAAAGTGTAAAACTGTTTATTATAACATTATTGTGGTGAAAGCTAGGGTAGTTATAACAAGCAAAGGCAGTGGATTCTCAAACTGTGGGGCTCACCTCTTCTAAGGAGGGGGTGCGTGATAACTACGTGGGAGCGCAAACATATCGAAAAGTCAAAAATCAAATATTTTGTGTAAGAAAAAAAATTATTATTTAAAAATAATTTATATTTAAGAACTATATTACTTTAAAGTAACATATACAAAATTTAATACTTATCTTAGGGCCGAGGGTAACCTAGTGGATAGAGCATCAGATTCCAGTCCGGAGGGTCTGGGTTCGATGACCGATGCCACCAAAAACCCTCCAAGTACACTCGTATGCGCTCGTTAAATCGGTGGGTTCGAAAGTCTTGTGGGCGGTCGCAGCTGAAGCCACAGGTGCAGGGGGTTGGAGAATATCTCCCTCCCTTCCAGTTCCATGCCAAAATTGTGGGTTGGAGATAGGTAGTAACGCCATCTATCGTATAGAAGCCCAACCTGTCCCAGGCTCTTGCAACTTTCATTCCTTCCCTTGGCGAAGGACACAACAATAATACTTATCTCGATAATTTACGGTGTATTATGAAGGTCGTACTGTCGTTTTAGCGTCAATGAACATTATTATTACTTTCAATACATTGTTACAATTGAAAATTGGGTCACAAAAATACTGGAAGTTTGAGAAGCACTGAGCTAAGATGTATTCGTTTCGGAATTTGTATGCCTTCCCCACGTTTACCTCCTCATCATGGCCGCACAAATGGAATTTCACACATATAATACTATTAAAGTTATATAAAAAATAAAATTTATATATATAATTTAAACGCATTGAAATTAAAAATCTATACAAAAGGAATTTGAAATTAGATCTTCATAGTTTGCTTTCGCGGGAAGCAGCGAACAAACTTAGAGCGAGTGATTGAGCAGTGGCGTAACGTATACATCCCTCATTTCACTGGCGGTGGGGGCAGGATTCTAGAAGAGACCCAAAATCTGACTAACGCTAAGTACGTATCCTTTTGTAAGATCCGGCTTGGGTCCGAAAACCTGACTTTGCAGGGGGCTCTAATAGTCTCCGTTACACCACTCTGTGAGCGAATGAATATTAACGTCTCACAATTCAGCTGCTCGAGGGCCTTTGGCGACGGACCTCGTAATTTTGAACCATGGTCAAGGGACGAGGACGACACCTGAGCTGGCACTTCCCTCTCCTAACTTCTACATCACACCAAAGGGAAGACGTTTGAGTTTGTTGTTGTAGTTACCAATGCCACCTGATCGGCAAAAGCCAGATCAAGGCCCACGAAATTCATTATGGCAAGGGGCTAAGTGACGTCCGTCGTTAGCCGTAGCATTGAGCACGATACAGGTGACAGAACGATTTAGCTCGGTTTCACACCAATTTTGAGGGAGAAACCCTGTGGATGGTCTGGGACCTCCCACTTCTCTTTCCCTTCCACCAACCTCACCAGAGGACTTGCGGCTTGACGGCTATGTCATGCCGTAAAGGCACTATACCTTTACAAACATCCATGTCTTCGGGATTCGATTGATTGATTGAATATTAACGTCGCACTGTTCAGCTACTCGAGGGCTTTTGGCGACGGACCACGTAATTTTGAACCATGGTCAAGTGACGTGGACGACACCTGAGCTGGCACCCCCTCTCCTAACTACCACACCACACCAACGGGAGGACGTTTCAGCTCTCGATAGATTTAACGTGCATCGCTGCCCTACACGGCGGGTCTTTAGTGTTACTGGGCTCGAACTCGTGACAAGGCAAGCCACGATCCGATACCTATACCACTCGGCTACCGCGGCCCCCTTCGGGATTCGAACCCAGTCCCTACGGCACCGCAGCTTCGCTAACCACTATACTGGTTGGGCGACACGTTTGAGCTTCTACAGGATTAACATGCTTCGCCCCCAACACGGTGGGTTTTTTCAGCGGTACTTGGCTCGAGTTCATGACACTTAGGCCACGAGTCCGTTACCTTGACCACTAGGCTACGACTAAATGACCAAGTTGGTTTTCATTCAATCGAAAGAAATAAAAATTAATTCACATACCCGCGAGAGGGTTCGAATTTGTAATCCAAATTCTATCGACTGAGGTAGCAGGGCTTAAAAGTAAAATCCCGATATTAGCATTTAGGGTGGCAGAGCGTCATCAATTTCACAATTTTCATCTATAAAATTTTGTATTGGCTGAGAATTTAACTCCATTCACTTAATGTAACGTTCAAAGTGCGATTTAATAATCATAAAATAGCAGTTTCCCAAGCCGGGAATCGAACCCGGGCCGCCTCGGTGAAAGCCTAACCACTAGACCGCATGGGAATAACGCAACAAAGGAAACTATTTTAAAACAGCAATAATACGCTCATTTTTCGCGCGTGAGCTCCTGTCATTTACAAAATTTTCCCATTATTCTTAAGAATACGGTATTTTCTATCTTTTTGGTATACTTCTTAGTGACGATTTTATAATGCAATCCAACCGATTTTAATATAAATTTCAAACATCCTGTTAATTTTTTTTAAAAATTCGGTTTCAATACTATCGCGATTTTTTGACAGACATTCATCCAAAATGGTTTTTTTTTTTTAAATCTCTGATGACAGAGAGAAAGGTATTTTCTGCATTAATGAATATTTTCTACGTTTAAGAGGTTTTTCTGTATCAGATAAGTCGCTTTCATTGCCTGAATTTGTTGTATATTGGTTCATTTTATAACACCTAAAAGCTATTAAATAAATGTACAATTTTTCATTTAAATTCTCGTAATTTAAAAAATATCTAAGACATTTAAATCCCGTAAGCATAACGTGGGATGTACAGTTTATGGGGGTAGGGGCAGTGGCGTAACGTACACTCCCACATTCAGGAGGCCAAGGGATTCTAGGGGGCCCAAAACCTGGATTTTAGGGAAGGGGGCTAAAATTCTTTGTTACGCCACTGGTTAGGGGATCGGTTAATTCAAACAGAAATAAGAATTATGATTTAAAATAATTTGCTCTGTATTTAAGGTATCCGACTACGTTCGGAACCGTAATTTTTCAAAAGCGTATAAATGGATAATATTTATGATATTTAGTGTCACTTAGATTAGAAAATGTATATAAAATTGTTTTAAGAATAGTATTACAATAAAAAATTATTTAAGTACATTATTTTGACAAAAAATGAACATAGAATGATCTATTTTCAAAATATTCTCCTTTTCTGGAAAAGGCTTCTATTATAATAATATTTTACCTGTATATAGCTCAGACCTCTGTACAGAGACTTAACTAGAATTTTTGAAATATATAACTTAGAAGTGTGGATTTATCCATTTTTTACTACAACAGAGGAAAGAAATTTAAAGAAAAAAACACCGATAAAATTATTTCAGTTGGTGGTAACTCTGAAAATAATGCGAATTTTTCAAAAATCCTAGTTCAGACTCTCTGGAGAAGTCTACTTTATATAAGCACACACACACACCAAAATATTATTATTATAGAAGCATTTTTTAAAAAAGGAGAACGTTTTGAAAAAAGGTTATTCTAAGTTTATTTTTTGCCAAAATATTGTATTTAAATAATTTTTTTTTTATCATAATGTCCTTATAACAATTTTATACATGTATTCTCTAATCTAAGTGACACTAAATATCATGAAAATTATCCATTTATGCGCTTTTTTAAAATCACGTTTCCGAAAGTAGTCGGATACCTTAATAGCTATGCCAGAATACAATTTTTTTCAGAAAAAGAAGTTTAGGCGTTTTAGATCTAAATTTAAAAGCATTTTGGCTTAATTTTTAACTACTACTAAATTAAAATTCAAGTATTTAACAACTGATTATGAATAATATATATATATATATATATATGATATATATATATATATATATATATATATATAATATATATATATATATATATATATATATATATATATATATATATATCTAATTATTATTAAATAATAAAGTGCAACAGCTTTAATACTTTATATTTTTTACATAAGGAGCTTTTATAGAGAGTTGTGAATTTCGTAACATATATGATTTGTATATGAAACTAGCCTTTACCCACTGGCGTGTCTAATCCTGTGTGGGCCCTGTATCAAAATATTTTGCGATTTTTTGCTTACACATATTGGGACCCCGTATCATTGATACGGTGGTAACTAATCCTCTGGCTTTATCCAACCGCTTCGCTTGGTGTTTCTTGATAATGTCTAACTATATACATATTTTTTAAGTTTTGAAATCTAAGCCTTAGCATTAAATTTTCGATTGTATTCAAAACATTTTTATAGCCCTTACTCTTGACTTAAAAATAACAGTACTTGAATTTCTAATAAAAGAATATGTTTATCTTTTACCCTTGAAAATCAGTTTCCGTAAAATCCGATCTTGACGAATTTCTACTCAACGAAACGAACATGCTTTCAAAATTCCAAATCTATAGATTTATTGGGAATTTTCATCTGCAACACCCTCATATCCCCCCTCACTCCTTAGAACCTGTACTTAACCGATCTGTACTCAATAAAAAAAAAACATATTTGCCAAGTTTCAAGTCTGTAGGTGTATTGGTTCAAAAATGGGTACTTTTCTTTATAAAGCCCCTCCCCCCTGCAGTTTTCCTCGGGTGATGATTTTTGAAAATCCTATTCTTAACGAATCGTTCGCCCAACAACAACAACAACAACAACAAAAAAAAAAAAGGCATGCCTGTTAAATTTCATATCTGTTGGTCTAATAGTACAAAAACGGAACTTTTTTGTTTATCTAATACATTCCCGAGCCCCCTCCCCTCACTTAGGTTTCGATTTCCGGAAACCCGTTCATAAACGTTGCCGAATTAAAAGATGTCGCCAAATGCACTAAACGTTTTCTGAACGTGAGCAGGCTTTCGATTATTGGTTGCATATCATGGTATTTTTGGCTACTTCGCACGTACACACAAAATCTTCCTTAAGCCTTAGGAAGAAATTCTCAAAAAATAAATTTGAATTTTTTTTTGCAGAAATATGCTTACAGCTATCTCCTTTGAAACATGAACGGCTTCCTGGAAATTTTTGGAACGATACGATCAACGCTGTAGTTTGACATAAAATACAAATAAATATGCAAATATTCAAATTTATACGTACATAAGACTATTTATTGATTTAAAATACTACGAAGCAAGATTTTCCAGAAATTTCCTTTATACTTTGCTCACAAAATTATTAATTTAATTTAGAATTCTATTGAATTAAAATTCTTTTGTATAATCATTCCTTTCCCAAACAACTAAAAACTGTTTAAATTACTTTTGTTTTATTTTCTAATAATTTCTAATAGGATTCAAAATAAATAAATAAATTTCTTTTAATTACATGTTATAAAATATATTTCTTTTTTAACTCAGTGTATATCTATGAAATACTCTATTAAAGTTATAATATTACTTACATAGTTATATATTTAGTTATATAGTTATTAATATTACTTTTATTTTGAATAATATTAATGTAGGAACTTAAGTAGTATGAATTCTCTCTCTCGTAAAATTATTAAAGCTTCGACGAATCTGTTGTTGACGAATGGTGTTGTTTTATCATTATATTAATACTTGTTAAAAATTGTTAAATTTTTTCCTTTTCCCGTGCACTGCCGATTTTTCATAAAATAAATATATCTATAACGTCCTTGAATGGTTCAGTAGAATTGCATTGTATTTCTTTTTAATTGCAATACATACCTGTATGTAGAGGAAGTATTTGGCTACATGAGTTTTCCGCAGAAAAAGGTGGGATGTGGTTTAAACCAGCCATGCAATGTGCTTTTGGAAAAGGCCCATAAACTTAAAAAATTCAAGCTAAGAGGAGATAATAAAAATGAATTAGGAAATATTTTGTGAAAAGAAACTACAAATATCATTTGTTTCATTTATTGCTTTCTCATCATTAAGTTTCGATTTCATAGATTGACATTTTAATTATTAACCAAATATTATTTAAATTTGTAATATTTTTGTTATATGAAAATGTAAAGCTAATTAAGGATTTTTAATAATTATTCATCAAAAAAATGAGCGCAAACTAAGGGTAATTATTTTTATTTTGATTGTAGAGTTCTGCGAAGAGTCAACTTTTCAAAAGCGAAAGATTGCCACGTCATTCAACACGGTTGTTTATTCTTATTTTCAAGTAATTAAAAACATCTTGATATCTTTTCAGAATCGCCCGAAACTAATTTTTTCAAGAGCAATATGTAGCAAATAAGATTTTAAAATAATAATGTGTTTCATGGTCATTATGAAACTATAATACTCTAATTTATGCCGTTCAAATGTTTCACAAAAGTCCTCATAAGAAGAATTTTTTTTTATTAAAATAAATAATACAAGAGGTTAAAAAAACCAATTTAGTTTTCCGCATTAAATATTTGACAGCTTTAATTACTGGAAAAATTATGACATTTGTTATCTGGAAGATTTCACCCAAGACATTATTTATTAAATACTTCAGATTATTTAAGCTTTCTGTTTTATTTTAATAACATATTTTTCTTCGAATACTGAAAGGGGTGAAAAAAAAGGGAAAAATTAGTTTCCCTTTTTTTTGTAGAGAAAAGTTCAATTAACGCGCGTGTAAGTGAAGTGAATGCGAGTGTATTGTCGATTTTCTGTTTTGCGATTCATCCAATCATTATACTCCACATTACTCAACCGGCTATGATGAACCACGAAGGATCTAATAGAGAATAAATTTTCCGATCAGTTTTAATTTGGCATGCATTTAGATGTTCGGAACATAATACTTCCGTCTCTACATTTATTGTTGTGTTCTCATATGTATAACTGGAGTATCTAAAACATTGCATTCGGAAAATAAAACGAAAACTGCATTGAATTAGGCTTATTTCCGACGACGGAGTAGAGCCCAAGTACATTAGCATTGTATTCTGTGTTGCCAGCTGGCAAATTGGTTTTTACGTAGGTAATATTTTTTTATTCACACGTTGCATTAAGATGCTCCATTATTGTTTAATGTTTTAAGATTTTTAATATTAGATATCCTTTTGAAAAAAACCTTTGTGGAAAGTAAGCATAAGTAACACGCTAATTTTTACAATGCTTTATTACCTTTTTTTAGCGACTTTCTTCCTACAAAAAAAAAATCATCTTTCCTTTAAATATAAAAAATAATGTGCATAATCGAAATATTTAACTTCTTTGGTACAAAGTCAATTGTATTTATTCTCTGGAAAAAAAATTATTTTATGTGTCGAGAATTGGGACACGAGAGAAATGTTTGACCGGAAAATTTTGAGTTGTCATGTATGTGCGTATGCA